GATTGGATCATGGTGTGAGTGGGAGGGCTCCCACTTCAAGCTTCTGTTGTTGAATGTCAAACTAATTCAAAGTTGCAACTACAGCAACAAACTCAGAGAGAACTGCTTCGCTGCAGTCTTGGTAAGAAGGACGTGGCGCAGGGATCCACCCGGCACAGGGATCCACCCGGCGTAGGGACAGAGCGCTCATGTGAGATCCTGCCTCTAATGTGCTCCCATTCCAGCTCAACACACTTCATTCCTCCCAGGGCTGTGATGAAAATCAGCATTATAATTAGCCCTCTGTGTTCCCAAGCCACAGAGCTGACGTTTCCCCAGCACCGTCAACATGACAACAATTAGCTGCCACTTAATTGCCTCTAAATTCATGGATATTCAGCTTGCAGTAACACGTATGTATGCATGTATCTCTGTGTGTGTATGTGGGGGGGAATTTATGAAGTTAGCTTCCATAAAAAAAACAAATATCGAGCAATGTGCTTGCTGGCTTCACTCCTCTTTTCCTTCCGCTGTGCCTCCTTCTCGCTGTGTTCAGCTAGGCAGTTAGCAGTGCGGCGCAGCGTCACGTCTCAGGTAAAGGTGATCGAAGCGTCTGATTAATCATTTCCTGCTTGGTGTTGCGGGCCCGCCTCGGCGAGAAGGAGGTCTGGAAGCTTGCAGAGAGCGATTCGGTTCCGTGACAGCGGCACCCCCCTACCCGCACCCCCCAGCTCCCCTTCTACCAGTCCGCCCCCTCCTCCCGGACTTCATTAAAGCCGAGCTGCTCGGAGACCGGAGTCGGCTTACTGCGGGAGCCGATAATGAGGCAGTCCCGAGGGGGGTGGGGTGGGGGTTACATGCTTACAAGCTGCTGAGCTATGTAAAGCTCATCCCTCCACAAACAACAGCAGGAAGGGGCCCTGTGTGCGCTGAGGCACAGGGCTCCGCCGCGACTCCCTCCCCACGTGACCGCGCGAGAGAGCGGCCCCTCCGAGAACCGCTCCGATCGGCCTTCAGGCCTGCGGAGGATGGAAGAATATTTACATACGTATACACAACGTTATATTGTTATATATAGTATATGTAATGCACCGGCCGAAGCAGGCGAAGGGGAGGAGATACACACGCTGCACTGGACTGAAACTCTGGAATGTATTGATCTGTACGACAGATGGGACAGGATCCATTTGGCCGGATGGGGCAGGATGCAGACAGGTTGATTAAACTGAGTGAGCGGGGTTTGTGTTGCATGATTTAATTAAGACTTTGTCTTACACACACACACACACACACACACACACACACACACACACACACACACACACACACACACACACACAAGCACATGTGTACCCACACCAACATACACACACTCCACATACCCAGAATGGTATAAAAACCATCAAAAGTCAGCAGTCAGTCTGAATCCAGGTAGAATGCATTCATAATCACAGGCTTCCATTTCAGTGGAGCTACCATTCAAGACACCAGTCATGCTTCAGACACACTGATTGCCATGGGCCATTAGGGGGCCCTGCCCAGATTGCTGTGCACGGTGTACATTTCTCACACACCACAGAGGCACAGTGGATACAGCTATTGTGGAAGTACCTCCATGCAAATGAGGGCTAATCCTATTCAGTGCGCACGTCCGCACTCCACCCGAGCTATTGGGGACGGAGCCGGCATCCGGCGGACTGGAGCAGCATTGTGCGGGGAAATGTAGATGCTATACAGTCCTTTCAGAAACAGCTTAAACACAGTTTCATGATAAAAAAAGGCCTGCGGTGAGACAGCTGCCCGAGTGGCTCCTGTTTGAGGACGACGGCCTTTGGTCGCCTGACGACGGAGTGGCCGCGTGTTCGTGTTCCTGGCGACGGCGCGGGGGAGAGGGGCATCAGCTGCCGACGCCCGTCCAGGAGAACGGGAGCAGATGGGGAGCCGGGCGCGGGGGGGTGTACGTGTGCCCCCCCTCACAGAAGGGAATCCCTTTTCTGCTTGTTCAACAACAACAAAAACAAAAAGGAGGCCTTGCTTTAAGAGTCGCAAGAATTTGAAACTCTCATTCAGGGCTGAGTGAATGGAGGAGATGAATCCCTTCATTAGGGGTGGGGGGTTTATACTCGTTAGAGGGTAAACAAAGCCAGAGACACAGTAACCCATCCCCACCGCCTCAAATCTATTACTGTGGCTACTGTTATTATGACTGTGTTGTCCTGCTTCTGTTTAGCTACAGGGTCTGCTGTGCAGAAGCAGGTTATTCCTCTCACATTCCCAATGGAAAGCTTTATAGTCCAGAATACCAGCAGCTCTCATGATAAGCTTCCACTCATAGCAATCTGGGGACAGCGCTTAGTTCATCAAGATAGAGGTAAGTTCTAGTTTGGGCAAGAGCGGCTCTATTGTCACTTTACACTGGTCACCCAAGGACTTTGTTTCTTTGTGGAAAGCATCCACTAAAAGACTGGACATTTCCTACTATTCACAGGCACCGCAGATGTCGGTTTTGCCACCAGATACACAACACTCTAAAAGTCTACCGATAATCCCAAACCAACACGCATTGTGCCACACAAACTGTTAAACTGCCGTCATTCCAAATTCCGCGTGAGCTCCATTTAAAACCTTTCCACTCTCCTCTGGTTTTAGCAGAGCCCCGCGGAACACAAGAAGCCCGCCATCTGGTTCATGAATACGGAGATGTTAACCTTGTATATTTATGAAGGTGGACAATAGGTTTTTAATCACGCACGCACTCAGTGATTGAAGAGAAGATTACATCTACATATGCTAACAGGGGGAGTCCGAAAATATCCCAATGCAGATGGGATTTATGAAAGAAGTGGCCGTGGCTGGGGAAAAAAAAAATCAAGGTTTAGGTTTCATGTCTGCTGGCTCTACCTGTTTTTTTTCCGAAGCTCACCTTCAAAGTTTACTTAGGGAAATTAAACATGCAGAAGCATCCGAATCCAAGTTTTGCAATGGGCTTTCCGCTAATATTCTCTGTATCTGAATTATTGAATAATTAGCCTCTATTAGCCTATATCCTCTATTAAGCTTTAGGAGTTTTAGATGAGTACATCTGTAAGGCCAGCTGCCAGTTCACTCATGGGAAGAAAGGTCCTATTTCAATTCTGGGAACAGCCTTACAAAAAAAAAAAAAAAAAACTGGTCGATGGTGCAGTTCAATTACTTGGCCGTTTTTTTCCCAGGATTGACATGCCTAACTCTGCATCTGCCCGGCAACAGATGACTAATGCCTGCCAATATCTCCTCTCAAGCTCAGGCATCTTAGTAACTGATGTATCATAGTTTACTTGCCTTCCGTTGCTGAGTCAGGTTGCACAAGATAACTTGTGGTAGGGAATGAATAGTGACATGCTCACATTCGCTGGTTTGGAAGTGTTGTTAGCCTAGTCTGACACTGTTGCTCATTGAACTTGAATGGATACACTGATGTTCAATTGTGCTGGAAGTCACTCTGGTTAAGAGCGTCTGCCACATTAATGTAATGTAATGTAATGTGATGTAATGCAATGTAAGGTGATGTAATGTACTGCACGTTCAGCTGCCTTTGACCGTCTCACACCGGCTCGTAGGCAGCCTGAAAGAGGACTTTACTCTGTGACGTCCCCCGGCGCCGGCGGAACCCACCCTGTATATGTAGTCCAGCAGGGGAGTCCGGTGAGACGAGGGGTCGTCCAGCAGCGGCATGGTGATGGGCTCCAGCAGCGTGCTCAGCGGGAGAGCCATGCACCAGTCCAGCGTGCAGAGCAGCAGCGACACCATCAGCTGAACAACACGCACACACGCACAACACGCACACACGCACACACACACACACACGCACGCACACACGCACACACACACACACACACACACACACACACACACGTATACACACACACACACACACACACACACGCACACACACACACACACGCACGCGCACGCGCACACACGCACACACACACACACGTATATACACACACACACACACACACACACGCACACGCACACACACACACACACACGTATACACACACACACACACACACACACACACACGCACACGCGCACACACACACACACACACACACACACACACACGTATATACACACACACACACACACACACACACACACACACACACACACACACATACACACACACACACGCACACACACACACACACACGCACACAGACACGTATACACAAACACACACACACACACACACACACGTACACACACACACACACACGCACACACACGCGCACACACACACACACACACACAAACACACGACAAGAGCTTTTCAGTGAACGACATCCTTCGCCAGTACTGTGGGCAAAGAGGATCCACCAACAAACAGGAGATGGACCTGTGCATACCTGAGCACTGAAACTCTAACTATAAATCAAAGAAGCCAAGCATCTGGGCCGACTTTGTGCTTCTCCTTTTAAAAAACATCCAGCAGTACAAACCTCTATGCACGCTAACCTAAGTAAGGGGATCTGCTGAGCAAATGGACATCTGTAACATCACTGATTTGGATTTTCTCTCTTGGATGTTTTTACCTTTTTATCAGCCTCCACCGTCGAGTGCTCCGCGCTTGGCAGAAGAAATGCGATGGTGGCCACAAAAATCTGGAGGATGTGGAGAGAGAGAGAGAGGGACACAGGCATGAGGAGGTGCCTGAGGAGGTTGGAGTTGGGGGGTGTGAGGGGGCAGGACCGGCCACTTACCTCAGTGATCTTCTTCGGGAGGGAGTGCTCGGTCTTCTGCAGGTCCTGCCAGTGGCAGATAAGCAGCTGGAACACGTCACATGCGGCGTGGGCCACCACCTTGTTCCCGAACTGCAAGACAGATGGGGACAGCGGCGTGAGACCAAGGAAGGGCGCAGTACACATGCCCCAAGGGATGCTGGGGGCACAACCCCGGGGTGGTGACATAGGCATGAGTCTTTCACTCTGCTGTGCACACTGTCTAACACTGTCCCAGATTCCACCTGTCTAAAACTCAGCGTAGCTGAGTGGTTAAGGAGCAGGGCTCGTAACCAAAAGGTTGCTGGTTCAAGTCCCCACTGGGGCATTGCTGCTCTTCCCTTGGGCAAGATACTTAACCCAGAATGGTCTTGGTAAAATATCCAGCTGTATGAATAGATAACATGTAAAAATTGTTACCTATGTAAGTCCTATGTAACATTTCAAAATTAATGGAAAGTTATTCACAGCAAATGCGGTAAAGGACACACCTGCTTAAACGTATTACTCGGGCTTCAGGTATTGATTAAGTGTATTGAGGTTAAGTGTATTGATCCCCCCGTTCTCTGCCCTGAGTGCACACGCCTGATAAACCCGAGACTCATTTCCGCGCCAGATGAGAGGCTGTCAGGCTCGGCCCCGGAGTAATCAGCCCGCTCCGGTCTCAAGGTGAGCTGCCCGTCACAGGCGCAAAACACGAACTCCTCTTTCAGACGGCGTGGCTCTCAGCATGCTGCTGCCGGAGGGGGAGGACGCAAATAAACCTGCGCGGAGCTTCAGGACAGGGCTCCGCCCGCCCCCCCCCGTTCCGGGGCGGTTGATTTCTCTGTGCATCAGGCTCCGTGGAGGAAGTGATTACCCTTCCATTAGCGGGAGCTCCGCTGCCGCGGGAGACGGGCAGATGAAGCCGCTCAAATTGGCCTGTGTTCCGCGGACAGCGAGGAGTCTGGATAATGAGGCCGCCGCGGCCGCATTTTCCCCAAACACGCCGAGGCTGCAGAGCCTCCACATCTCTCCGTCCTCACAGGAGGGAGGAGAAAAACAGCTTTTCAAACCCAGCAATCACCATGAGGCAGCCGAAGTGAATGGCAGAAGTCATATAGTAATATAATGCAGGATAAACAAGTAATGCAGGCTAGACCATGCAAGGCAGAACAGAATAGAACAAGCAATACAGGATAAACAGGTAATGTGGGGTAAACAGGTAATGTAGGGCACAAAAGTAATGTAATGTAAGCATAACATTACATTACTTATAAAATTGTAAACAACTTATGCAGCATCAAAGATGTAAGGTGGTTGTGGGTTTTAGCAGTGATTGCATCACACAGCCTGTTTAACAGAGTTTAAAATGCCTTTTTTTGGGTTTAGACAAAGAAACTACTTCAACAGCGTCATTAATCATGTTCCTGCCACCCTTCTGCCCATGGGAACTTTGAGACTGAACTGATTCATTCATCTCTGCTCTCGCAGGTACAAATGTCTTTTCACAATTACAATCAAGAGGCAAAGACACAATGTCCTTCGGCTTCATCAGATGCAGAATTCAAACGGCGAAGACTCAAGAGCTTCATTTCACCTTTCGGGGTGATGATAAGCAAATACCAAACAGGTAAACATGTAATCTGTCCACATCAACCTGTAAGAAATCTGTAAGAAATCAGCTAAGCAATAAGAAATGTAGTGCACAGTATGTAATGTAGCTTACAACAAGCACTGTAGTAGACAATAAGTAAAGTAACTAACAACATGTGGTGTAGTGCGCAATAGGTAATGTAGCATACAACAGGTACTGTACAGCACAATAGGTAGAGTGGCTACAAACAAGTACATAGCATACAACAGGTAAAGTAGCCAACAACAACTACTACAGTGTGCAACAGGCAATGCTGGGTAAAATAGGTAATGCAGTATGCAGTTAGTAGTGCAGCGCAGATCACCCACCTTTAGTGTCACACCCAGGATGTTGACGGCCTCTTTGACCTGGGGGTGGTGTGTCTGCTGCAGGAGCTCCTCACAGATCCACACCCCGAGACTGCAAACCGCGATGCACCTGCAGGGGGCAGTACAGGGAGGACATTGCTGCAGCATCACTGAAACAGCCCCAGTCCATAAGCACGGCTGGCGCTAACGTTCTGCCTTGGACCAAATCACTGCTACAGCCGGAATGCGATCATTGCCCTTTAACCGTCACTTTGCTCTCATTTCAGACAATATATCTATGGTAGTAGAAGTTAGCTTGTGGTAGGGCTTGAACAGTGTTGTGCTCAGACTCACTGGTCTGGGAGTGCTGTCAGCCTGGTCTGACACTGTTTTTCATTCAGCTTGAATGGATACACTTCTGTTCTTTAGTGCTGAAAGTCGCTCTGGATAAGAGCGTCTGCTAAATGAATGTAATGTAACGTAACGTACAACATGGGTTGTGGTTTGTCAGCAACGTCTCTGTGGCTGCCAGCACCTGTGTGTTGTGCTGATTAACACAAGGAAGGTAACGGTTGCTTCATTTTTCGTTTGTCACAGCGGAGAGGACAGTGCAGTACTGCGTGATTCAGACGGCCTAATTCACCGCCTGGCAGGGGTCAGTTAAAGTTCAGATCTGATACGGGTGGACGTCCTCTGGCCGTTTATAAGGTGAGACTAAGGTGAGCTTTTCCTGCACCTGCCGCTGCCATACCTGGCCCCTTCACTGGGCTCATTCCGCGCCGTCTGCAGTAAGATGTTGATCAGGTAGTCCTGGGGAAACGTTAGCAAAAACAGTTAGTCAGGTAGATAAGGCACACTCTCTACTCACACAAACAGAGAGAAAAGTCCTCATTTGCATTTTAAACAGGGACTGAGTAGGTTCCGTTGGCTGGGCCTTTTTGCCCTCTAGAGCCTCTAGTGGCAAAATACTGTTACTGCGGGTTTCACTTTGTCTACATGGGAGACACGGCCATTGAAAGGGCTCCCTCGTCTAGTCAATGTCAAATAGCAACATGGGATTAAAGACTTTACTACAGCAGAATTCCAACAGTCTGGTGTACCTTTACATCCTCCTTGCCTACGATGATGTCATTGGTTCCAGGTACAGTCTGCAGAAAGGGAATCTGCAGGTACAGGTTGGGAAAGCAGACGAGGGACCCCAGGATGGTCTGTGCTTCAATCCTGGGAGCCTGGAAAACGAGACAGGGGGTTTTCACTGTTGGGCAGCTGCCTGTACCAAACCTCACAAAACCACAGGGCGTCCACTACCAAGAGCTGAACAGCTGTGCATAAGAATATAGAAGCATAACAGAAGCAACATTCCATTCACTCCCGGCTTGTCATTCTGCCTTTGGTCAACAGTAATCTGGTTTTATTTCACGCATATATGTATGAGCCACCCACGCAGCACTTTGGCAGTTTACAACATGAAAACCAAATTGTAGGGAACCTTACAAGTTATAGAAGAAAACCTTTAAGATTTCAAAAACATCACTATTAAAAGGAAAATGAATGGCTCTGAAGAGATCCCAGGGCCTCTGACTGTACTACGTATATTTGAAAAATACTGGGTAATACTGATTCAGTATGCAGTTCTTTAAACCAAAAAGACCTCTGCTCTCTGGTTCTGCTGAGAGAACCTGTCTTGATTAACGTTATTATTCCTTTTTGGATAATAAAAATACCACTCACTCAGCCTCCTTGTAGTGAGACGAAAGAGATAATTACAGTGTATTAAGTGACCCGTTTACAACCTGGGACAAGTCTTTTTGCCCTTTTCTGCACTTCATTTACTTTAAAAACCTACGTCTTTAATAGCCTTTATAATGTACAGTGTGCTGACCCAAACTGTTGGATGTGGATTAAAGAGGCAATGTTACAGTGATGATGCCGATCTGTCTCTGGGCGGAGCAAACCGCTGGGCGTGTCCGTCCGGCAGGGCTCACCTCGATGGCGTCAGAGCTGAGGATCCGCGCGGAGGCCGTGATGAAGTCCCCCAGCAGCATGGTGAAGCCCGGCAGGCCCAGGAAGAAGAACCGCGGGGAGCAGTGACGGATGACCGTGTTCAGGACGTCCTGGAGAAAGACGGGATCGCGGTCCGGTTACAGCGGTCAAGCTGAGTCCAGAATTCAGAGCAGCCCTAAGCAACCGCTTTCGCTTGGAGGAAGAACGGGGTCGACTGGTTTTTTCACACCCAAGGTTTTGTGGAAAGTTATGATATTGAAGAGTGTTATGCTCACGTTCACTGGTCTGGTCTGTTGCTCATTTAACTTGAATGGATACACTATTGGATGTTCTATTGTGCTGGAAATCGCTCTGGATAAGAGTGTCTCCTAATGATTGTAATGTAATGTAATGATATGAACATGGTTTGCAGATCAATAATTTATGAATCCCTCAAAGTCTCTGTCAGATTCATGGTGTATGATCCAAAAAACAAATGTTTAAGTAATATTGCTGAATCTGTTTGAGGTACAAACCATGTCAAGATTATGGAAGGCCACTGCAAATGTCAAACAGCATTGACGCAAAAGCCTTTGATTAGCCTACAAAGGGACTGCTGGCTATCGCATTTTCCCGGAACATCACTTCCATCCACATCTGCAGACTCAGCGGAGGTGAGACACGGTGAAGTCAGCTCTGAGTCGAGGCAACAGCACGCAGCTATCAGAGCAGCCCACGGTAAACACCGGGCCTGGAAACGTTATCGGGACCGAAAAAGGGCCGCGATTTTTCCTGGAAGACCTAACGAGGCTCGACGCGTGGGCTTCTTCCAGCGGGTTAATGTTTAAACTCCGGGGCCTTTCGAAGCGCGGGGCGACAGCGGACTGCTTTCCCACAGAGCAAACACGCCCTGAGAGCGTCGGCAGATGGGCCCGCGGCCCTCGGCCCTCGCAGGGGCGGAAACAAAGGGCGCGGCGGACTGCGTGATTAATGGAGAGAGAGAGAGAGACAGAGAGCACTCCTCGCGCGCACCTGTAATTACACACCCCGGGACGCAGGTATTGTGGAGCCGCGCCCTGAGTGGTGGCAGATGGTCCAGCTCCGGCTCTGTTGACACAGCCCGCATTAAAGAGGGATTTGCTGGGAAAGGGTGGTGTGGGGGGGTTTGACGGAGCGTGTTTCCGGCGGGGTTAATGTTACACACGGACGCGTCGATGTCCTCCCCTTCATGCTACGGGCCCATCTGGACCACATCAGGCACCGCGGACGCGGGATTGGCTGGAGAGAGCATCGGTGTCCTACCTGCCAGATCGACCGGTATGCGGCAATGTCACATGACCAAAGGGACAGTGGTGACAGCGCCACTGTGTGACGCACTTACTTCGTTACCGAACAGTAACGTTCGACGATGAATCTGAAC